GAGAGAGAGAGAGAGAGAGAGAGAGGGAGGGAGAGAGAGGCGGAGGAAGCAGAGGGAGAGAAGGCAAGGCCTTTCTCCCTGGTACCTGATCCGGTAGCTATGGCGCTGCAGAAGGCTGGCGCTGGGCCGCGGGCTGGGCCGGTGGCTGGCGCTGTTCCGACTGCTGTGCTGATTCCTTCTCGCCGCTGTGCTCGCTCTCTCCTCGCTGCTCATGCTAACGCTGCCGCGCTGCGCTAATCCTGCTAGCGCTGAAGCGCTGCGCTAATCCTGAAGACTAACGCATAGACTAACCTCCGGTCTCTACTCACTTTCCGACTGAGGCTGGTACCCAGCTGATATAGTGCTGGGTCAGCCTCAGTCCTACTGAGTGCCTTCGGATCTGGACCGTTGATCGGGCCCAACGGTGCAGATCCGATTGAAAAGTGGCGCCTAAAACTGCGCTGCCGGCTGGGCCTACCGATGGACCGGTACCTGGCCTAAACAACTATCCGTTGGGTCTGGTGGGGTCTAAACGCGGCCTACCGGACCCTAAACTGAGCCGACGGTTCCTAGGCCTACCGTGACCTGGTACCTAGGCCTAAGCCGTGCCTATTACAGAACCGGGCCCTAACTGRGGCCCGTGTGGTATCAGTATGCCACACACTCCCCCCCTTGAAGACCSAGCTAACTGCGAGGGTGAAGCTGTYTGTCCGATGTCCGTACGGGGCAGGCGGGTTAGGCAGCTTCCTTAGCAAGTCCCTGTTTTTCGTAATGCGCGAAGGTGAGGGGTGTTGTCGCCTTCAGGTCAGCTCGTGAAATCCAGCGTGTGTCGTCGAGATCGCATTGCTTGAATGTAACTTTGTACTGCATTGGCTTGTTGCCGTGTTTGCGATGAGCAAGGACGCGGTCGACCTCCTGGTGACCATCCATTGATGGAGGGTCATGTGACCGTCTGCCCCGGAAATCCGCTGCTGAGGCTGGAGTATAGACCGCCAGCTTTGAAGCGTGAAATACTGGGTGGACCGTCAAATGCGGGGGAATCTCGGTTATGAAAGAGGGACCCGCGGGGTCGTCACCAGCTGCTGAAGTGACCTTCCATGGACCAAGCCACTTAGGGAGGAGCTTACGCGAGACGTGCTGCTCGAGCGCGAATTCCTCGGAGGTGACCCAAACAAGGTCGCCGGCGCAGATTGGACATGGGATGCGACGCCGATTCGCTTGCTGCTGCATACGGACCTGAGCCTTTTGCATATTTGCGCGTGCTTTGGCCAGCAGTTCCCTGTACTTCCTTGTAGAAGCGGGGGAGCAAGCGGGAAGCAAGATGTCTGCGAAGATACAGCCTTTCTGTCCACCGTGATGCAACTCAAAGGGAGTCACGTCGATCGCCGGGTGCACCGAAGTGTTGAAGGCGAACTTGATGTCGGGAAGGCAGTCAACCCAGTCCTTCTGATCCGGGCTGATGAGCGTGCGGAACATCATCTGCACAGTCTGGTGCGCACGTTCCGTTTGCCCATCCGTTTGAGGATGCCGTGCGGAACTCGGTTTCATGCTGGTGCCGGATTCCACCATGAGTGTCGTCCAAAAGGCTGACATCAAATGAGTGTCGCGGTCGTTGACGATGTCTTCCGGAACGTCGTGGCTGCAAAAGCAGCCGGTATGCAAAAGTCGTGCGAGCTCGGGAGCCGTCGCATGATACTTGCATGAAGAAATCGAGCGTACTTGCTCAAACGGTCAACGACCATGAGAATACCATCATGGCCAGGGCGATCGCGAGGGAAAGGACCGGTCACATCCATAGCAATGGAGAGACCTAGTTCCCGAGGAATCGGCAATGGTTTCAGTTCGCCGTACGGGAGCTGATGGCGCCCTTTGTTCCGGTGGCAAACTGCACATGACTGAATGTACCGGTTGACGTCGCTGATGATGTCCGGCCAGTGAAATCGCTGGCGGAGTCGTGCAAGTGTGCGTTGGACGCCAAGGTGTCCCGCCAGCTGCGAATCGTGGTATTCGCCAAGGAGGCGAGTGCGCAAGATGCGGTCTTGGGGAACACACAACAAGTCCTTGCCTCGTGTATGAAGAAGCAAGTAGCCGTCGACAATGGGATAATTGCTTGCCGGCGGGTGATCCGATGATAAGTCCGCGTAGAGTGTGGAGAATCCCGGATCCGACTTGTAGCCGTTTACGAAATGCTGTTGCAGGTCCTCGTCAAGGCCGAATGTGGAGTGCACCAAGGCGCAAAGATCGGCTCTTCGCGAGAGAGCATCCGCTGCCTTGTTCGAGGGGCCCGGAATATGCTTGGAGGTGAAGTCGAACAAGTCAATGAAGTACATCCACCGACCGGTCGTGGTGCTCACCGCGTCTTGCATCTTGTAATAAGTCAACGGATTGTTGTCCGTTACCCACGTGAATTGCTGACACCCGAGGAGAACGTGACGCCAACGCTCAAGTACGGTGACAACAGCTAGCAGTTCCTTCTTCCTCACATCATCAAGTGAATTGATAAGCGGCACCTTTTGGCTGAAGTATTCAACCGGATGCCAGTCTGTGCCGTCATGTTGTTCCAAAACCGCGCCAATGTCGTAGCCGGAAGCGTCCGTAGTCACTTTGGTAGGCAAGGTCGAGTCGTAGATGCTCAAGACGGGAGCTTGGAGCAAAGCCGACTTCAGCGTGTGGAACGCGTGCTGAGCTTCGCCGTTGAACTCGAAGGGCACCAAGGGGGACTGAAGTCGCGACAATGGTGCAGCGATCCGTTGGAAACCTTTGACGAAGCACATGTAGTAAGATGCTAAGCCGAGAAAGGAGCGGACGTCGGTAGTACATGCGAGGTCCGACCAATCTTGAATGGCTTGTACTTTGTCCGCGAGCAGACGAATGCCTTGCAGCGTAACGTAATGGCCCAAATACTCCAGCTCTCGTTGGGCAAACTCGCACTTGTCGCGGTTCGCCTTTTACTTGGCGATACGGAGTCGCTCCAAAACGGCGCGAAGGTGCTCGTCCAGCGACCGACTATAAACCAAGATGTCGTCAAGGTAAATGAGTACGGTGCAGTTGAGCAGGCCGCGGAATTCTATTGTCATAGCTGCTTGGAAAGTAGTCGGGGCATTGGTGAGACCGAAAGGCATGACGATCCACTTAAAATGCCCATACCACGTCTTGAATGCGGTTTTGTACCGATCTCTTGGCTGGATCTCGATCAGGTGATATCTGGATTTGAGGTCAAGCTTCGAGAAGTACTTGGCGCCGCCTAGTCGCTCGAGAAGATCATCGATATGAGGGATAGGGTCGACGTTCTTGATCGTTTGTGCGTTTAGTTTCCGATAGTCGATACACAACGAAGGTCCTTGTTCTTCTTCCGGATGAAGAGAACAGGAGCACCGTATGGCGAACAGCTAGGGTGAATCCAACCCTTGGCCAAGAGGTCGTCTAGTTGTGCGCGAACTTGAAGCTCCTCTTCGCTCATGCGGTAAATACATCCGCGCGGAGGTACGGCGCTGTCCTTGAGAGTGATTTTGTGGAGTATGGGCCGATCCGGTACGACTCCGGCGAGAGCTTGGAAGACATCCTCATAGCTGTCCAAAAGCTCAACGATGCGTGGGTCCGATGTGTCCGTCTTGGGCAGATCATCGGGTGGGAGGGCGTGAAGAAAACACATGCCCATCTCCTCAATGTCATTCCGCCGGATGGATTGGCAAATGCTCGCTGCGGAGACAAACGTGACAACCAATCGAAGGATGGCGAAGCGGCACCGTACACGGGACTAGTTCGCCATGCCGATCACGAACGTGAACGGTGCGTCGATAAAAATTCACCGGATGGTCTTCGCTTTGCAGCCATGGCATGCCTAAGATCATGTCCAACTTAGTGTCCAATATGTCGAACGACATGGTCTCGCATGCAAGCGGGGCAACGTACACGGGCACGGAGTCAACGCAACGGTCGATTGATTTTTGCATGTGACCATCGGCCAACGTGACGTGCGTAGGCTGACTTTTCCTTCGAACGTGCGGGCCTAGCCCGACGCGTGCCATGATGTCTTGGCTCATGTAGTTGCGAGACGCTCCACAATCGATCAAGGCACTGCAGGTCGCCTTTCCGATCTGAATGCGAATGTAGAGGAGCGGCGCGTCGATGTCGATGTACCGTTCCGTTGCGTGCTCGCGGTCGATCTTCGCAAGATAGCTACGAAGATCAACAACCGCTACTCCGCCGTCCGTCGACGGAGGTGGTACTGCAGCGTGCAAGTATTCGCACAAATGTGCCATCAAGGCGTTGCAGTGTGGTGTTGCCAAAGAACCGGTGGAGGGAAGAGGCAACCATTGGAAGTCCTCAACCGTCAACGGGTCGAGTTCCTCAAGACTCGCCCAAGTTGACGGATCCTCCGATAGAAGGGTTGGCGAAGCAACCGGTTCGTTGTCCGACGGCGGTAACACCGCGCATGCGCTTGAATCTTGCACGTGGAGAGGCTGGTTCAACGGCAGGACCAACTCGACAGCATAGTTCTGGAAGTCAATCCGAGAACTTGCGACTACCGCATCATCCTCGGACGTGAGAGAGACTGCTAAAAAGGCAGCCGAGTCCGGCGGATTGGAGAGTGATGTCGCTTCACTTCCCGTGGTGCTCAGTTTCCCGAGATTGGACGCTTGACGTTTTCCTTGTCCTTGTTGAGGCATGCGCTAGTGATGTGTTTGGTGTTGTTGCACCATAAACAACATCCCCATTTCTGCCTCAACTTGAACATGTCTTCGGTAATACCGAACTTCGTCCATGGTGACTGTCGTGCTCCATCCACCGACGCTGGTTTCGCCTTAGGTTTTCCCCCTCGGGGTCTTGAGCGTTGCGGTGGTATAGCTGCCGCCACATCTCCGTCATTTGATGTTGAAGCGGCTGCGTGATCCTCGCTAGATCCTTGCTGGATCGCTGCTACTTACGGCGTTCACTGACCTTTTACTTTCTCCACGTAACCGGGCTGTTGTCGGGCCTCATTGCCCGCGCGCCGGTTACCTTTTATGAGTTCCCTTGCCTTTGAGATCATCTCATCAAAGGTCTCATACTGGAATTCGTTGCCAAGGGCAGCTGTCAAGGCATCGCAAGAGCGGGTGAAAAATTCGGCCCGGATTGCGTCGAATGGCTGGTTCAACTCCGGGGTGGCGACGAGTCATTGCCACTCCGTCAGCCATTCTCGTGATGGTTGCTGGCCTTGAAACATGCGGAAGATCTCGTTCAAGGCGTGACGTTCGTCGTTGTTGACCATGAACCGGGTCTTCCACTTCTTCTTGAATTCCTCCCACGCGATCTTGGTGTGGAGGGTGGCGATGGTGCATTCCAACGTGACGGCCATGTGTCATGAAAGCTTGTGCCCCTCCGATGAGCTGGAGGTAGAGTGCGTCAAGCCGCCAAGTGGTGGGGTGTGATGTACATATGTCTCCGTGTTGAATGCCATCCACCATTGCAACGGATCAGTCTTGCGGTAGTTGTCGAACTTCTCAATCTTGAAGTTCGGCATCTTCCATTCCTTGACGACGGCGACCATTCCTTGTTGAACGCGGTCGCTGAGCGTCTGCAGCTGATTGCTGACCGTAGACGTCCCAGCAAACGTGCTGATGTCGCCAAGGGATGTGACTACGTGGTTGATCCGCTCCTCGAGTTGCTTGGCCTGCGCGGCCAAAGCTGGGCTGCAGTCTGCCACTGCACTGCTTGTCGACTCAACTGCAGACACTCGTGCCAACCCTGTGCTGACAGTGGTCTGCAGCTGACTGTTCGCGTTCTGCAAGGCGGTGATCTTCTGTTCCTGCGTCCGAAACGTTGCTTCGTGGCGGATGAAGGTCTGTCGCATGGCCAGCAGCTCGCATTCCTGCGAATTGCACGTGTACAACATGTGTTCCATTAGTACTGCTATTTCCTCCTTGCTTCTCTCTTCCTCGGTCGGCTCCTCTTGTTCTTCGTTCGCTCGAAAGTGCTGTTGTCGAAGTATCCGCCGGTACGTGGCTTCTTCGTTGGCGAGCTCCATTGTAGCCTGGTAACGAGCTTGATTCTGACTCTCCTCGACCTGCTGCTGTTGCAACCGTGCGGCTGCTGCAGCTTCTGCTGCGGCCTGCTGACATGCTGCCTCGGCCTCTGCCATTTGGCGTTGGATTGCCTGCTGGCGGGCGGCTTCCTCCTGTTCCCATTTGCGAAGTTCAGCTGCAGTAGTCTCCGAGTATAACTGGAGACGTTCAAGAAACGCCAGTAGCATTTCATCTGCCTGCTGAACTGGCATAGGGGGAGTGGCCGGCCTCGCGGAGCTGACTTGTGAATTTGCGTCAGCGGTGGCGGACATGGTCGTGCGTCGTCTGCGCGGGATCCGAGGTGTCTTAGGTCCCTATTGGGGCTTGGTTTTTGTGGCACAATGCTGACGTGGCCGGAGACTGAAGTCCGCAGTACCGAGAGGAGGAGAGAGAAGGTAGGGGTGGGAAGAAGGGAAGGGAGGCAAACAATGCACAGACAGTCCCTTTCTTTCTTGACCTCGAACTTGACACTAATCAAAAAAAAAATTCCCTCCCCACGAAAATTTCAGATTCTGCGAAATTAAATATTTAATTATTTAATTAAATAGAATTTAATCGAAAAATACGAGTTAATTGAATAAATTTTAATTTTGGCAAAATATTAAATATTTAATTAAAGAATATTTAAAATTTGCAACAATTAATTTGGCAAAAGTTAAATATTTAATTAAAGCAAATTTAAATTTGCACCACTAAAAATGAATAAAGTTTAAGCAAGATATAATTTCACGAAATTTAATCGGGAGATTCAGCATCATTACGAGGTCATGAAGTAAGTAGAAGATGGAGCAATGGCTATGAGGGGCCGGAGAAGAATCAGGAGAAGGAAATATAGAAGAAGAAGGAGAAGATAATGGGGCAACGACGGCAAGCGCTAGCGCCGCTTCGGTAAGCGCTATCTCGAAGCGCTTTCGCGGGCACCCGCACCGCGGTGAATCCTCCACGCGCCATTGCACGCTCAGGTGCCGCGGTGAACTTTTCACGCGGGAAAATTCGTGATGCGCGCAGCCCATCATCACGGATCGAGCTCACTAGTAACAAGGAAAGACTCTAAAGGAGAGCAAGCCAACTCAACACCCCGCCACGCCCGCGGGCGTGGCAACTCCCACCCAAGTGAGCAAGCGGACAAAAAGCGCGCAAGAAGGAGGGCGAGGGTATTGGAAAGTGGAGACGGTCGGCGCAACTGTAGAGGAGAGCAAAAGAGGAGTGGGGAAACCTAAGAATAGGAAAAGACAACAGAGACAAAAGGGGAGGAGAAGAGCTCGCGTTCAGGGACAGAAGATAGGGCGGAGGGGAGAGAAGGAGATGACCCTATTTTCAGGAAGAAACAAAGAGAGTGGTCGCTACCCGGCAAAGGCAAGCCCTGTCACGCGAATAGTGGGGTAAAGGAAAGGACAAGGGCAAGGAAGGACGAGCAGCGACACAAGTTCGAACAGGCGGTGGTCTGACCCCGAAATCTTTCGCAAAGAGAACTAAGAAGGACAAGAGAGGCAAGGGCACAAGAGGCTCAAGGTGGTAAAAGGAGAGGGGGACAGAAGCAGGAAGGGAGGAGAGGACAAAAAGCAAGGAGGGGCAGGGAGGGCGGAAGGGCCAAGACAAACAAAAAACCGATACCCGCAGGGGAGAAGGGAGCGCATCATCCAAGCCCACAATCATTATCCCTATACGGACGGAAGGGAGAACACACGACCTCATTCAGGAAATACGGGTAAGTTTTTCACCAAACAGTTCAATCGAGTGCTTTGAGATCGTAAGAGACAAGGACTCACGTGACAGGTCAAGAAGGGGAACGAAGGCAAAGAGACAAACGAAAGGGCAGCGACAAGCAAACATTAACACTTGTCGGATTAACGCGACTTCCTTCCAATATTTATTTGTGATTATTACTCCTATTATTACATATTCTTTTTACTTTTCTTTCCAATTCATTATTCGTCTCATTATTGCCACTCAAATGCTTTTTAGTTGTGTTCATTAATTTTATTATTACATATTCTTTTTACGATTCATTCCAATTCATTTTTCGACTCACTTTTGTTATTCAAATTCTTTTTAGTAGCGCGCGCGCGCACTCACACCGGGAATCGATAACACTATTTCGAAGTGCTTTCGCGAGCACACGAGCCAATTTTGCCAGTACGTTTTCCTTTACTACTTATTCAGCTCATTATTGGAGCCAAACTTTCGGGCATCGCACTCCTCGGCAAATATACTATAAATTCGCCAACTTTGCAACTTTTAACCGACTTCCCCGCGTTAATTAATAAATCAGTCATTGTTTCAAACCTTTGTCGTGTACTCACTGATTGCACTTTGCTCAACAACTAAACACCGGGTTTCAAACAGAACGGACACGATGATAAATATACGCTTGATCCATCAGAGGAGCAATCAGCGACACCCTCCCAAGCTCCCATCCCACTCCCACAAGTGCACGAGACAGAATAAATCGCCCTCTCCGGCATCACTATCCACTCCGATCCAGTCCTTTGCACGAGAAGACAACATTTGTCCTCTCATCAACTTCTGACGTACTTCGGGCCCCGCTCAAAATAACCCAATCCCTCTTTCAACCAGACTTACCCCACCCCCACCCTACACGAGAAGGATTACACCCCCCACCTGTTCTCCACYTCCCACGTCGGTCCCGATCGACCACTTTCCTAGTCCCAATCGTAAGTCCCACACTTCAGTACCGATTCACGCTGCACACCCTTCCCAATCCAATACAGCTTCCAACACTCCCAGACCRCATCCCACTGTCACCCTGGCATGAGAACAGCCATTCCGCSCTCCACGACCTTATAAGTCGTGACTATACTAACCCTCTCCGTACTARTCCCGATCCCAAATCTACCAYTTCTACCCAAGCTTCCACCCAGACCCCGTGCTCTCCATTCCAATCCCCACCTCTGCCAGATCCGACCTCTCCCCACATCCGTCTCAACCCCAACTCGTCTTCACCAGCAGTACCACCGTTGCGTACCCTCTTCCCCCCTGACCCCACCGCAACCAAGATTCATTTGCCCCACTTAGTGAACCCAATTCAGTTCGGCTCCAGACCCACTCYGCAATGGAGGGAATGGGAATAGAAACASAAAACTGGCTTGCAGAASAAACCAGGATGCCTCTYGTCAAAACAACCAGAAGCATAGACCACGGTGGAAACAACAAAGAGGAGGTAGTGGTCTACGAATGCCCGAAAGAATTGACAACAAAGCAAGAACAACTTCATCAAAAGCACGTAGTTCTGTTCACATTCTCCAAAAAAAGTCAGGAACTGGACAGACAAGCGAAATTGRAATGGATCTGGGAAAAACTGAAGAGTCTGGAACCAATTCAAGGACAGGAACCAAAAGTGTCCTTCCATCCAAGGTCAAGGAATGTCATAATGGTCCTATGTATGGAAGAGGCACTAACATCCTTCCTGAAAAACAAATGCTTCACATGCAATTCATCTGTTGTCACCGTACATCCATGGAAACAGCCAACGGACTTCCAACAAACGCCATTCAGGTACAGACAAGATTTACTGAAAAAGCACTTTTGGATTCAGTTCGACAGCGTGCCAGAGGGTATGCACGGATGCATAAAGGAGAGAGTGCGAATGGAATTCGGACACTACAAGGAAGCCCACTGGATAGTCTCAATGCCAGACTTCCTCACACCACAACACAACCAGATGACGGTAGTCTTGGAAACAGGAGACAACAACTTACCTTTCATCCCTGATGAATGGTTCTTTTCGCAGGAGAATAAAGTGACCAGAATAACAGTATCCAGCAAAAGCAACCCCCTCTGTTTCAAGTGCAGACAAAGGGGACATATGGGCACGGACGCAAACTGCCCGAAGACCCTGGAGAGTGCGAAACCCAAAGCGCTCAAAACAACCAATCTGCAGGAAGTCGCAGGCAAAAAAGGATATTGGTATATCCCGGAGACACAGTACGCTGGGTGGGTATTCAACGACAACCTGGACACACCAAAGCTAGGTATGGATCATTGATGGCGAACCAACCCCCAGGCCGGATGTCTATCCCCCCTTCGACAGCAGATGGCAAACCCTCAAGACAGGGGAAAAAAAACCCAAGGTCTTCACAAAGGACCCAGTGATAAACGTAGAATCACTGAAACATGAAATTTGGGAGAGAGATCTCCACGCAGACTTACAGGCGGTGCAAGTGGGTTGAGGCAGTCAAAAGGTACCAGGAAGAGGAGGGACCGAAGGAGGGTCCCCAACAACAAAGGACCTACGAACGAAGAGGAAGGAGAGGACACAACAAAACCACGCACAGGAAGGACAAGGAAACCGAAGGAACGGACGAGTCCATGGATGATGGGAATGGGACTCCAACTCACAGGGGAAAGGAAAATCAGCAAAATCCCGTTGTTGGCGAAAAAAGGAAACACGCAGAGGACCAAACGGAAAGGGACTCAGCGGACGAGGACCATGAACAAGACACAGATGATGGCTATCCCTGGTCAGGGCAGCAAGAAAGTGAATTGAGGAAATGCATTCAAATATACGAAAAAGAAAGAAGGGACAACTACGAACTGCAGCTAATTCTCCACAGAGAGGAACAGAAAATCAAGCAAAAAGCAGAACTGGGCACCATGCCCATGCACATCCTCTCACGGATAACCCATTTGCACCGTTGGAAAAGGAGGAAGAATTAGCAACCTTTTTCGCAGAAAAATACTGCGCGACAAAAGAAGACCAGGAAATGGTCTGCGAGGAGAAAAACGCAGAGGAAGAGAAGAGGAAGGAACAAACCAGGCAAAAAAAGATGCAGAACTACAAGCCAACCCAGATCCTCGAGGAACAAACGAAACAAAAGGAAAGAAACGAGCCAGGCAAAGAGTTGTCCACGGACGCCATTCTCGGTATCCAGGTCCAAGCCTTATATGCCCAGAATGCAAGGCTCACAGACCTGAGCAGAGAGATTTCCCTCCGCACGGTGACTATCCAAGACCTGCAGCACAAGGACCACGATGCTTTGTGGGAAAGAGCCAGGAAGGAAGCTGRCACCCTCTTACCATCCCGTGCTGTTATTCCCATCCAAAAGGACGCACTCACAGAGGAGTGGAATATCGCAGTCCACGAAGATTTCACAGTGCCCAAATGGCAATTGGGACAAAAAAAGGAGGATCTGCTGAA